AACAAATTGCACATCTGGTTACCTCCATGAACAACTGCCTCCTTTGCCATGAGAGCAGAATCAGATGGTACCCAACAATCATTACTGATCATTTTGATCAAGGATTCTATAGAAGAATGCTGATCAAAAGGGGGAAGAATATGGGACAGAATTTCAAATCTGGTAGCATAGTGGCTAAGACACTTGCCTGCTAACCAGACGGCTGGCGGTTCAAACCCACCAGCCACTCCTCGGAAGGAAGGTTGGGCAATCCTACTTCCGTAGTGATACTGCCTCGGAAACCCAAGGAGGGGTCGCTATGAGTCGGGGCCGACTCGACGGCACATAACAACAACAACAACAACTATGAGGTCCACACTTTCTGGTACCATGGAGGCTGGATAAAACCCCAAAACCATGGCCCTGAAATAATCTTTAAACTTTAAACCAAAACTATCCCCTGAAGTCTTCTTTAAACAGAAAATAGCTTACCTTAATTGTAAAGTATGTCTGTCTTGAGCATTGCGCTCTTTCAAAGAATTATCTACGTGAGATCAAATTGACAACAGCAACTCAAAAGGTTAGATGAGAAGCTTAGAGGGCGGTGAGTTTAAATCAGTGGTGAGAATGTTTACACAACTTGAAGAATGTAATCAGTGTCACTGAGCTGTAATGTGAAAATTGCTGAAATGGTGTCTGTTTATATCTTCACACACACACACAGAGAATACTACAGCCAGACCTGACTTAGACTCCTGCCTGCGTAAGTCAGAGGCTCCAGGACCTGGGGCAAGTTATTGAACCTCTCTGAGCCTCAATTTCCTCATCTATAAGAAACCAAAAAGGACCAAACCCACTGCCTTCAAGTCAATTCTGACTCATAATGACCCTATAGAATAGAGTAGAACTGCCCCCATAGGGTTTCTAAGGTTGTAAATCTTTACGGAAGCAGATTGACTCATCTTTCTGCCATTGAGTGGCTGGTGGGTTCAAACCGCCCACCTTTTGGTTGGCCACTGCTTTAACCACTTCATTACCAGAGCACTATGAAATGGAGCCAGTAATAAACAGCCCCTCACTTCCCCTGTGTGAGGTATTTGGCATATCTTGGCCACTCAGTAGATTACTGGGTGGTCAGATTGGGAGGGAGCCAGCCCAGCCCTTCCATCTGAATGTCAATCCCTGTCATGAGACCTTCCCGTGCACCAGCTGGCCTGATCCTCACGCTGTCCCTGTGAGGTGAGCAGGGTGGGTCTGAGTGTTCCGGTGCACAGACGCTCAAGAGGTCCAGAGTCTGCCTGAAGCTGAACAGGCAATGATGAAAGTGGCCTGGACTTGTAGGGGCTGGGTACCTGCACACAGGTGGGGGATAAGCAGTGAGGGTCAGGACAGCCCTGGGCTCCGAACAGTGCAGGCCTCCAGCTTCAGCCACATAGCCGGAGGCTTTGACTCTAACCCAGCCTTTGCTGGCCCGGAAGCTGGGAACAATGGCCGGGACTACGCCTGGCATCGGATCTGCCCAGGGGAGCAGGAAATCGCTTCACCAGCGGGCAGAGGGGCAGTCAATCTGAGGGACAGAAGCCATTGTGCTTGTCTTCCTGTCTGAGGCAGCCCTGGGCAGGGGCCACTGTGGACAGCCTCCATCCTGACCCCCAGGCTCCCACACCTCCTTCCCTCCTGTGGAGAAGGCTATGCATGGAACCCTGGGCTACTCAGATGGAAATCTGCCCAGGACCTCCCAGCCCTCCCCTGGCCCATGCTCCTGTGACAAGCTCTGCATCCAGTCAAGTGGGTGGTTTCTTTGTTCCTTGAAGGTTATACGTCTAGGAAAAGCCTTGGCTGCTACTGATTTTGGCAAATCTACAAAGATTTGTGCTTGGAATGCTCTTTCCTCCTCAGGCAAAGGAGGTCAAGCTGGGGGAGGTACGTGTGCGTCCATTCCCACCCTGGGTCTACTCCTCTGCCTTCGCTGAGCACCTGCTGGGCACAAAGCAGAAACGTGAAGCAGTTTTGAGGTTTTCATGTATCGAAGAGGTGGAACCAAATATATCAAAACTGATATTTGGTACAAAACACTATGTGTGATAGTGTCCCTGACCCTCCTCATGCCACCCCTCCCTCAGCTCATGCCCACACCTCACCCCAGAACCTCCCTCTTGCCAGCCCCAGGTGCTGGGTGGGTGCTGGGGATTAGGGGTTCAAGGATGACTGGGGCCTAGCAACAGGGTCAGGATGTGTTTTGCATGTTCTTTTGTAATAAACACAATGTCACTTTATAAAGGAGACCTGGTGGCACACGGCATTCAGCTGCCAACCAAAAGGCCAGCAGTTCAAACCCACCCCGTGGCTCCATGGGTGGATGACCTGGTGATCCGGTCCCATAAAGATTATAGGCTGAAACACTGTAGGGGGCAGTTCCACTCTGTAACGTGGGGTTGCTATGAGTTGCAATCCACAACGTTGTTGCTTTAAGTCAGATCAGTGTCTCTGAGAGGCTCCAGGTCCAACTAGGGGGAGAGAGGAGGGGTTGATAAGTCCAATATTTCCTGAGAGGTCATGTGGGCCAAGGAGCCATGAGCCAGTTCCTTGAAACAGCAGTAGTCTTTGTCCTCCTGGTCTTAGGTGAGGAGAAGGGGAGAAGGGAGGACTTGAGGGAGGCCTGCCTAGAAGAAACAGAGAGTTTGGAGAGGAAGAGATGTGAAAACATTCTAGGTAGAAGAAAGCCTTGGAACAAAGGTTCAGAGGCAGACAAGAGCCTGGGTGTCTGTGGGACAGCAAGAAGGCTGGTGGTAGTGTTTGTGTCCGGGTGAAGGGTCGGGGCCCAGGGCCAGGATAGTGGATTGAAGTTAGGCCAGGAATGCATGGGGACCACGTGGAGGCTGGACTGTCCTCAAGGTCGTGGCTGAAGGGAAGATTTCTATCTGTGACGGGCACAGTCCCTGAAGGCTGAGGGGAGGCCCAGGTGGCAAGGCCATGGGATTGGCTGTGGGTAGAAGGCTTCCTTCCAACTCTGGGCCTCTAGCCTCTGGGCGGGATTCTCCACCAGCAGATTCTACAGCTGCCAACAACTCCGAGGCAGCTTTCTGGTGGGACATCCCAGTCTCCCTTGAGACCCATGCCCCTCCCTGGCCACATGTCCCTACCCCCAAGAAGTTGGCTCTGGATTTCTCCCCACTCTTGGCTTGCATCACTTTCACAGCAGGTGGCAGCAAAGGACAGTGGACATGAACGAGTGCAGGCCCGCGGTCAGGCAGGCTGGCTTCAATTTCTAGCTCTGCCAACCACCAGCTGTGTGATCTTGGGCCAGTTACTTAAATCTGTTTCAACATCTGTAAAACGGGTCTAAAATTACCCACCTCATGGAATGGCCTGCATAATGTTTAATACACATTTAAACAATAGGACGTGTGCACTAAATCAGGCCTATTTATGCTCATCTTAGTTCCTTTATTCTTAGGCTCATATTTTTATGTTTATGAAGTTATGATTAAATGCCCAATTGATGGGCAAGAATCTAATTAAACTGCATGTGTTACCATTCATGGCATTTCGGGCTTGAGGATCGTGGTCCAGGTGTGGCCACGTATCACCTTCTGCTTTTAGGTTTGAATCGCTGGGCCTGCCTGCTCTCCCACTGAACCGGAAGCACCTTGAAGGCAGTGGTGGCATCCCGTGTCCCCCCAGCAGCTACAGCAGGGCTAGGAACAGAGCCCCAGTCCCTGAACTCTCTCTCCAGTGCTTTAGCATGCCCTCTGGAGCTCTCCTGCTGCCCCAGTCTTCTACTGGCCAGGACTAGCATCTCTGCTGTGCATCCTTGGGCAAATCCATCCCCTCTCTGGGCTGTCATGTTGGAGGGGGCAGATGAGGCTGCAGAATGCGGCTCTGACAGCCCTGGAGGCTCTGGCAATGATTTTCCAAGGTTTCAGTCAGCCGGGGCTGCCTGCCGGGCTTGGAGGCAAGGGGTTCTTCCTTCAGGAAGTGCTGGGAGGAAGAAGAGGCCCTGTGATCTGCTTACTGCTTCTTACCTGCTCCTTCTGTCTCCTGGCCCCTTGTCAGCAGAGCCTCATTGTTGAGGACAGAGAGATGGACACCATGACCCTCATCTCCATATGAAGTCAATGGTCCTCACCTCCACTCTTCAAAGAATAAAAGCAGCCTCAGGTCTGTAAGACAGCCTGCCCCACCACAGCCCCGCTCCTCTCGTTCACTACCCGAGAGAGCAAAGACCACCATTCTGGAAACTAATTTATTCTACAGACAATGAGCACATCCTATACGTAGGCACTGTGCCAAGTGTTAAGACTGCTGGGTTCTGGTTCCTGCCTTGCCATCAATACTTTTGCCTGAGGCTACATAATTCCCCCATCTGGGACTTAGTTTTCCCATCTGTGAAATGGAGTGGCATTGGTTCAGCTCACTTTCCAAGGAGCTTATGAGCCCAGGAAAGGAGCTCTGGTGGCACAGTGCCCAGGGCATTTGACTGCTAACCAGAAGGTTGGTGGTTCCAACCCACCAGCCACTCTGTGTGAGGAAGATGTGGCAATCTACTTCTGTAAAGACTCACCACCTTGGAAACGCAATGGAGGTTGGTATGAGTTGGAATTGACTCAATGGTTGTTGTTGTTGTTACGTGCCGTCGAGTCGGCCCTGACTCATAGCGACCCCTCCTTGGGTTTCCGAGGCAGTATCACTACGGAAGTAGGATTGCCCAACCTTCCTTCCGAGGAGTGGCTGGTGGGTTTGAACCACCAGCCTTCTGGTTAGCAGTCAAGTGCTTTAGCCACTATGCTACCAGAGCTCCTTGACTCAATGGTAGTGGGTTTGATTTGTTTTGGTCTGAGGCCTGGAAGGAGCTCTGGTGGCGTAATGGTTAAAGTATTCAGCTGTTAATCAAAAAGGTCAGTGGTTCGAACCCACCAGCCACACTCCTCAGGTGAAAGATGAGACAGTCTGGTTCTGTAAAGATTTACAGCCTTGGAGACCTATGGTACACACACACAAACACACGGGATGGTGCCCCTCTCTGTAGGAGCATTACGTTTATTTCTAGCCAGGCTGAGGTGGGGGATAGATGGTGCTACCACACATCCCCTGGTCCAATGGGGGCCTGAGGTGGCACATCTGGCAGCCTGAGGATCAGTCTCCTTTTCATAGATTAATGCCAAGGGGTCAGGTAGTTGACTCGACTGTGGAGAGAAATAGAGGTAAAGTGGGGGCCTCCAGGATATCCTGGGGGAAAATCAGGCCATCATTCCCTTAAAATGCACCTTCCTGCCCTTGAGGCTCTGAAAACACAGCTTCCATCCAGCCTCTCTGCAGCTCAAGAGAGCTGTGGCTGCCTATTTACTTCCATTTGATTTGGGGTGCTCTGGTGGTATAGTGCCTAAGGCATCTGACTGCTAACCAGAGGCTGGTGGGTTTGAACCACCAGCCTTCTGGATTGGGCAATCTACTTCCATAGAGATACCGCCTTGGAAACCCAAGGAGGGGTCGCTATGAGTTGAACCGACTCCATGGCAGGAGTTTGTTTTTTTTTTTGGCTTGGTTGTTCAGGTTACCCCTCACCCCAGTTCCAGTTTGCCTCATTCTTATCTCCCACTGATCCTCAACTATGAACTGCTTCCCTCATATTTCAGCCACTGAGTGAACCTACTGTCTTGCATTATACCATAAACAAACCCCCCCTAAAAAAACAGTGTTCCCCTAAGTATGTATACAGAAGGAGAAAGACAAACTTCCCATCCATCATTACAATGCAGCCATCTCAGTGCCATAAGACAGGGATGCAATGTGATGACCAATGAGAAGGGAGTGTGAACTGGGTGTTAGGGAAAGAGGTAGGTCAGGGAGGACTTCAAGGAGCATGGGATATGTGAGCTGGGCTTTGAAGTGTGAGTAGGAGTTTTCCAGGCAGAGAAGGAAGGATAATCCAGGCACTGAAACAGCACAAAGCAAAGTTGTGCTTGGTTATGCCTGGTGCTTTTGGGCTGAAAAGGTGGGAGATGGCCAAATTAGGAAGATGAGTTTCTTGTACCCCCACCCCCATGCTCATTGCCATCTCCAAGCCTATACCTATGAGATGGCCCTGCCAGAACACAAGCCTTCTCCCTTACTACCTGTCCACATCCTGAGGGCCAGATTCTTGGTGCTTTCTGTCTTAGCTTTTATGTCACTTTGTTCTTCTGGGCTCTGCTTTTCCCCCAGGTCACTCCCCCTCCTTTGCACCTCTTCTGGACCAAACCGGGGGGGGGGGGCCATGTATTGCTCTTCCTTACAGGTTGGGCAATCCTACTTCTGTAGTGATACTGCCTCGGAAACCCAAGGAGGGGTTGCTATGAGTCGGGGCTGACTCGAGGCCCATAACAACAACACAACTCCCCTCAGTGGGCTGCCCTTGTGCCTGCACGGATCTCTCCAGAGGGAGGAGCTCGGTCCCCCCTGACAGCAAGCAGGAGGACACCAGTCGTGCCCCCTACTCCCGCACCTCCCTGCTGGGCCTGCGAGGCCCTGCCCCCGCCCTGGAGTGGAGTCTGGACAATCTGAGTCCGGAGGCGACTGGTGACCCCGGGGTGGGGGGTAAGTGTGCGGATGTGGGATGTGGGCGGGGCGCAGTCATTCCCATACCTGTAATGGGAGCCGAAGCGACGGAAAGCGTTCCTGGGAAAGAGAGAAGAGAGTGAGCCAGTCGCTTCACTCCCATCTCAGGAGTGCCCTCCCAGCTCAGCAGGACTACATCGCACGTTTGCCCAGCTTAACAGAGTTCACCCAGGGCTTCATCAAGTTCACTCCGGTTCGACCCCCCCCCCCCGGTGAAAATTTGCATTTCCACCCCAGATATACTGACTCCTAATCTACATTTTAATAAGATCCTCAGGTGATTCTTGTATTCATAATTATGACCTGGGGATATGTAAGAATTACCCGGGAATCTTGTTAAAATACACATTCCGATTCAGTATAGGTGCAGTGGAAATGCAAATTCTCAGCAGGGGGTCGAACCGGAACGGATTGGCTCAAAGCCCTGAGTTCACCTGATTATTCCTGAAGGGTGACAAAGTGTTCTATTTGGTAGGATTTCAAGTTACTCGTTTTGAAATTGCAATCTTTTGGCGGTGTGTTGGAGCTGATCAGTTTCCCCAGGTTTCACACATTTTCAAGGGCCACTAGGTGCGCGCTGGGGAGAGTGGCCCCGCCCTCCTCCCGGGTCTGGGATCCCCGGGCTTGTGGAGGCACTCACAGGGAGTCGAAGGGCAGGGGCTTCTGTCCGTAGCGGTCCAGGCTGGGGTTCTGGTTGAGGCAGTACTAAAGCGGCCAGAGGGATGCGGGGGAGGTCCGTTAGCCAGGGGAAGTGGGGGGGTAGGGACCCGCCTACGCCTCCACAGCTCCCCCTACTAGAGACCTTGGTCCTGGGGACTGGGAGACCCTGCTCTCCGCCTCCTTTCAAGTGTCAGCTGCTCCCCACCCAGGCGCTGGGACGCAGCCCTCCCTACCCGCCAGCTCTGGGTCACTTCCGGCTTCAAGTACCTCACCGCGTAGCCGCTGAAGCTCTCAACTGCGGAGAAAGCAGGTCCTCTGGAGCCCCACCCGCTCCCGTAGGCGGGGTCCAGGCCCCTACCCCGCCCATCCCAGGACGAGCCCCGCCTCCACAGCGCCGCCAGTCCCAGGACCACACACAGCACTCGTCCAGACTGCTCGCGGGCGCCCTCACTCGGTCCTGCCCGGAGCCCGCAGCCCTCGGCCCACGCTCCCCGCCCCTGCCTGCGGTCCCGCAATCGCTGCAACCCTGCCCTAGTGCCTCCTCTGCGCCCAGCAGACCGACCCCTCTTGTCTGAGCAGGGCAGCTTGAACTCGCCGGCCGAGGACACGAAGCGGGACCAGTCCTCTATGGCGCGCGTGAAGCAAGGCCAGTCGAGCCGGTTGATGCCCGGAGCGATGGGCGCCAGCTTCCCCGAGTGATACCTGTCTCGGAGCTTCTGGCCAGTCGCCGTGATGTCCTGCCAGGGCGACGGGATCACTAAGGTAGATGCGGAAGTCTGAGGGGCCACCCCAGACCACCCCATAGTTCAAAGATGACAATTGGCCCCTCTGACCTAGGGGACGTCCGAGGCAGGCCTAGGGGCGGGCCAAGGGTCCCAAACTGGCAGCTGAGTTTAGGTTCTGGAGGGTCTGCCCCAGTAGCGGAGCTCAGGAGCCAACCGTGCTGGGGACTGGGGCCAGACCGGGGCTTTTGTCCTCTCCCCTGAGCAAACCCAGGGCCAGGGACAAAAGACACTCACCAAGCACTGTAGGGGCTTGTTGGGGACACCGAGGAGTGTGAAGTGGGCATTGTCAAACTCATCTGTAGAAAGAAAAGAGGGAAGAGGGTCTTGTCCACCGGTGGTCACACACTCACTCAGGAGAGATGTGGACCACACTGCTTTAAAAATTTTGAACTATTTGAAAAAAATAAAATAAAAATGAAGATATTCAAGGAAACAATAGACAGGCCTTTAAAGTGAATGCTAGCACTAGGGATGAATGTACCCCTTAGTACAATCAACCTTATGAGACCAAAAGGGCAGCATATGGCCAAAAACAAAGCTCAGAGGCCAGGAAGAAGCAGGAAAGAAAGGTGAATGAAAACAGGGAACGCAGGGAGGAAGTGAGAAAAGTGTCGTTACACTGAGGAAATTACAAGCAGTGTCATGAAACAAAAAATGTATAAATTGTTGGATGGAAAACTACTTTGCTCTATAAACGTTCACCCAAACTATAGTAAAAAGTTCAACAGCAACCAAAAAAAGATAAAATTGCATCCATACCTCACCCTTTATGATTGAATGAACTCCAAATAGATCAAAGATTCAGTGTAAAAAATGAAACCATAAAAGGACTAGAAGAAAACATAGACAAGTTCCTTTATAACCTTGGAATGAGGAAGGCCTTGCTAACTCTAATTCAGAATCCAGAAGCCTTCAAGAAAAGATTGAGAACTTTCACTGCATGAAGCAATATAATAGAAGTCAAAAGACAAAAGGAAAAATATGTATCTATTTATATTACAGATGAGGGAAAATTTCCCAAATAAACCCGTCCTCCAAAGGGGTAAACAACACACAAATAAAAGAAATACAAATGGCTCCTAATCATATGAAAAGACAGTCAACCTCATGCATAATAATAGTACTAAATAAGATAGATGCCTGCTTAAACTACATTAAGATACAAATTTTTGCTTCTCAGATAGGAAGCAATTGAAAAATTGTGCAATTATGGGGAAACAGAGGCTCTTGTACATTGCCGAGGCAGTATAAATTGAGTCTACCCTATGAAGGGTAATTTGGCACTATCTAAGGGAGCTCTGGTGGCATAGTGCCTAAGGCACTTGATTGCTAGCTGGAAGGTTG